GCCGATCGAAACATAACTTAAAAATCCTGGTGCAGTTTCAGACCAGCCAAATAACTCCGAATTGGATTTCGTGCAGAACTAGTCCACTTCAGCGCCCCTTGTTCAGGAATTTTATAGTTAGAATCTGTGCATACATATTTAGTATTAATTGTAATTTACTCAGGTAAATAAAGGTAAAAGCTCGACTGATATATGAAGTACGTAGTCCTATTTAGTAGCAGGCTATTTTTTTTTTAATCCATGGAGTTTTTAAATTCGAGTCCTTAGTGTTGTATGCTGCGGGATCTTGAGGTTCTCACGGTGGTGAGTACGAAGATGGCTGTCTTTGGGTTGTAGAGCTGTGTAGAAATTTACTACCGTTTCAGAGGTCTTTGTTGCTTCCATCATCAGGCCTCCATCATAAATTTGGAGTGACTTCTACTGACATGATGTTGGTACCAAGTTTCATTAAAATACGTGTGTTTGGCTCCAAAGTTATCAGTTATGACAGACACACGGATGTGATGACACAAAGCGTCTGCCTGTCTGTGTACAATAAGGATTGTAAACTGAAAATATCTCTCTATTAATTTCTTTCTAAAAGCACCATCCGAATTGAAATCCCGGAGACCTTGGTCTGTCAGGGCATTTGTTCTCTACTCGAAGTTAGCTGTCTGTTACACTGTTACTTTGATTTTAGACATGGACATTCATCACTGTTGGCATTTCATCGCTGTTCCGGTTATGAGGCAGTTATCGTGCCTGGATATTCATTAATCATACCCAGAGGCTCAGCATCGTGACTTGGCCTTTTCTTGGCGTTTGTCGGAGTTTTGGCCGTAAAATACATCCTTTTGTTTATAATCAATTCTCATTTCGTTATCTTTTCGCAAGTTTTCATGGTATAAATGTGACGTTTATATTACAACGCAAGATTCAGTCGAATAAGAATACCGAGAAAATGCATCCGTATAGACGGCAATTAAAAAAAGGGCGTTTGTTTTGCGATTGAGGTCGGTCTGCTGTCTGGGTGGCCTATATAAAATGCCTTTCAATTTGAGCGGTCAACATCTAGATGACAGTGTGGCATTTGGAAATTGTACATCGCTTTCGACGGCGTATAGGCAGTGTTATTATTATTATTTAGTGTTCTGTCTGACGACAGGTCCATATGAACAGGATCCTTCCATCCTTTTCTCGGACTGGGACCTGTTCATATACGTTCTTGGCAGATGATCCAGAAGTGGTTTGCCATTGCCTTCTTCTGTGTGTGAATGGAGTAATTGTTGGGATGCCACGGAGGAAAACTCCGTGTTGCCTAGACCACGGCCTTGCCCAACACAAGTTATAAATTCGGGCACCGCCGGGAATCGAACCCGAGACACCAGGATTACAAGGCCAGCGTTCTGATCGCTAGACCACCGTGGCAATAGGCAGTGTATGCTAATATTATTATACCGTGTTGTTATTATTATCTTGATAATGATGATCATTCATTTATTGAGTTGAATTTTCTACTGTTCTCACTAGGGGGCTTACCGCCATTTCTGGGATTTCTGCCCAAATGAATCACCATCCAAGTAATTAACCTCACCACAGACGATAGTGTCCACAGCACATCTGTGAAACGTTAGTAAACTTCTGTCAGAGTATACGAGTACAACGTAACATGTAAGAAGACCGCCATATTTATAAAAATTCTTGTTATTACGTGTTTGAGCTACTTTCATTGCTTAAATATTGCGATAAGTTATAGGAATCGAAAGTAAACCCAGAAGATTGTTGGAAGAAAGAGTTCATATTATTTAAGCGAGATGTGCTTGAACTAATTTAATATAATTAAAGAAATGTGTTGTAATTTTAACCCAATGCGTCAGTAATAAAAATATTAATGAAGGCCAGATAATTGTGTGACATCGCAAAGAAGTAATTTTTAAAGTACGTTTGAGGTAGCAGTAATTTGTACTTTATATTTGAACTGTGCCTTTCCAGAGTCTATTCTGTTGTCTGTTTATATTTTGGGCTGTTGTACACGGTCGCCATGGAGACATGATGCAGGAAGACAGACATTAAGTTAAGAAACGTCACGTGGAGCTGGGACACCCGGTTTCGTATTGACTTAAGCTTTCGGTGTGCCCCTAAATGCACGAAGGCTTCGTCTTTTACAGATTGGGACCAGTGATCTGTTATGTAATTCAGAATTCACTTTTGAAAATGTGCAGGCCTATTCGTTGCTAGGACTCATCGGGAGATCGGTGTAACGGAAAACCTGATCGGAATTGTATTCAGGCAAGACGGGAAATCTTGTCGGAAATTTTCGTCCGATTGTCGTACAATTTGAATTTATTGTAACCTAAGACCATAAACTGAGCTAGCCCTCCCTCCCCGGTCACAGTTTCTTGACATCAGTCACACGGTGCGTTCTAGTACGTTAAACGCTGGAGGGGCGCGTTTATCTCTACTGCATTGTGCTGTGTTAGATGCATCAAAAGGCAAGAATGACTTCCTCGCTGTTTCCCGGGTGTCTGCATAATATGATACGAGGAGGATTATACATAGTCGATGCACCGAAGTGTTAACATTTGGCACTGCGGTGTAAGACCTGTAAATTGTGTATGAAGAATGTCTGCAGTGACGTGCTCCAGCCACGTGCTGTTTCGCCCCCGGGGGTTCAAACGTGAGAATAATCTGTGTGTCCTGTGATACGAGACTCCTTGTGATATGCAAATTTCTCGTCTGAGGAGTTCCGTGGCGTGTTTAAAGAACAGAACTTCATATGCCCAGTAAAGAACTGCCCGTAGAGAATGACCGGGAAAAATCTTACTTTGAAATACGTTTTCATAGAAAAGTGTAACAAAGCAGCCTGTGGAAATGAAACATTTGTTTATCTTAGCTTCATTGAAGAATGTAATAGTATTTAGTGCAGTGCAGTCTTACATGTATGATCTTGTATTGAGATTACAATAGAAGTATTGCACATAGTGGGCTATAGATGAATTATCATATTATCCCATAAGGCTCAGAATACCTTAACAGGAGGTGATCGTCAACGAACGAACGATACAAAACTTGTTAGTTATATAGATATATGCGCCCCCAATTATTGTACTTGCTTTAGAGCAGAATCCGTCTAGTTAGCCGCCCGAACTATTTTGATATAGACACTAATAAAAAGAATGTAACATTTCATGTTCTCGTGTGCATTCCACAATTATATCACCTCATTGTCTCCATCTCCCATAAAAACAACTCTTTTATCTGTTACTATTCAGAATTGATTTTAAAAATATGAATTGTTCGATATTTGGTGGGAGTCCTTGCGTGCGGCATCGATCATTGAGGCCTTGTTATTGCTGTCATGGGGTGAGACGATGTCTCTGTGGACCTTGGCCACTGACGGGCCCCTTATTCATCCTCCAGATGGTGCGTGAGTGAATATGGAGCAGGGGTGGAGTTAAATTTTCAGGGGGAAGCCGATAGACCCGGAGAAAGAATTGTCCCGTTGTCAGTTTGTCCACCGCAAGTCCAACTTGGATTTGGTCATTGCTGCTTCATAACATTGGCCATCACAGGCAGTTAATTCATCCAAGACTATCAAACTCAAAAACACTAAATACAGAGATGTTTGCCGTTGTAAATGTTCGAGCGTAGTCCTCAGAACTAAAGCAGTTTTTGCTTAAATGTACTGGAATCAGCTGACTGCCACAGAAATTCTTAAATCCTCATGATCCAATTCCCGATTTTAACTTGAATTCGACAGTTTTGGCACGAGCATAATTTGTGAAAAACGTTATTCCCACATCAAAGAGGAAGAAAGAACTTATTATTTCTGTGAAAGCTAGAAAAGTTAAGTGGTTGTGAAATAAGGTTTTTTCAAATATTAAAGTATCTTACATGTGATTTGTTTACCTTTGCAGCCTCGCAGTATGTATCCAGGTAACATGTACCAGTACCAGCCGAAAGCATCTCCACCCGCCTCAGCATCTAGCAACTATCCGGTGCATCCAGATGTCAGATTTAAACACCTACCTTTTTTTGATTTGATGGGAGAACTGTTGAAACCATCAAGCCTTGGTAGGCAGAGTGTGTACACTATTTCTGAATTTAAAATTAAAATGAAACATTGCTGTAAGGGTCTCAGTCACTAGTAGAAACATGTTACATGAGCTCTTGCCTTTGTGGTATATTGTATTGGATGTATGGGGTCCTTACACTTCATATGTGTCAGTGTTCGCTGATGCTTGTACGAGGCTCGTCCACAAAGTAAGTTTCCCTGGGGCCATTTACAGAACCAAAACACAATTTCATGGAAATATTTATTGCGACAGATACAGCAAGTGTCCAGCTATTTTTCCACATATTCGCCACCGGAATTGAGACATTTGTCATACCGTGGGACCAACTTTTAATACCTGTGTCGTAGAAGTCTGCCGCCTGGGATTGGAACCACTGTGTGACCACCATCTCCGCCTCTCTGTCATTCTCAAAACGCTGACGCTGACCGGACAGGAATTTCTTGAGGTGTAGGAAAAGATGGAAATCACTGGGAGCGAGGTCCGGGCTGTAGGGTGGATGATTAAACACCTCCCAGCTGAACTCCTGCAGGAGACTTGCTGTCCGTCGAGCCGTGTGCGGCCTAGCGTTATCACTGACCGCACTTCACAGTCGGCGGGAGCTGGAATAAGAACCTCCATCTTCAACAGCTGCAACGATGCTACTGTGAGAACGCGGGAAGTACCGTTAGTGCATGGGCCATGCTACGTCATTGCTCTATCACGTACGCACAGTCGCTTCGCGCAATATAAGGTTTGCTAGCTGTGGGACGAGTGGGAAACTTACTTTGTGGACGCGCCTCGTACTTTGACGATGTTGTGACGCCACGCAGAAGACGATGGAGGGGGCAGTATGTGACCCCTCTCCCGGAAACATTCGTGTGTACCTACGAGTCTACAGGACGACACAGCCGGGAAGACCAACGTCGGCATCTTCATAAAGTCACAGATGTCTGTTCTGGTTTCCAGGTGTGGGGTCAAACACTTCTCTGCCGACAGTCGCATCGTCTGGCCAGGAACAACTTCTCCAGAATACAGCAAGAGACAACACTCGTGGGCCATCTGGACGTTCGGCCAACCTCCAGAATCCGTCTCTTATTAATAACATTCTTGGCGGCGCAGAAGGGCAGGTAGTGAGGGCTTCAGTTCTCTCGGAGAATGGGGATATCAGTGGCGCCACTTCAAGAGCAGTTTCGATGGAACGTCCGGGACTTCCGGCTGTGAACGCTTCCGTGAGGGGTGTGTTCGTCAAGAACGAGCCATTGGACAGCGGAGCCGAGAGCGGTGGGGCCTCCAGCTTAACAGGCAGCAATGGTAAGTAGAGCATGTAGAATTATATTATCAGTACAGGACGCGGTTATTTGGCACAAGACGGAAACATTCTTAAGAGAGAAAGATTTATTGTAAATCGCGTGCTTCCAAACCCTTTGACCCTTTTGGGGTGCTTCTCTCTGTAATTATCAATGTCAAAACTGTGTTTTCTTGTTCTTGTGTGTGGGTGTGCAACGTGGTCACTCTTAGAAAAGCAAGTTCCGAATTGGTGTCTGAGTTGAACGTTTGTTCGCCATGCTTGTTTCGTGCGTTGCAAACTTTATTATTTCGTTTCGTTTTGTTCTGTAAAAGGACAAAAGAAAAACAAGAAGAAGAAGAAGAAGAAAGAAATTAAAAGTCAATAAGAAGTACGGGAGGAGGAATGTGAAAAGTTTTCTTAATTGGCTCTGCCCACGGCAGGCGAAAGGGTGGGAAGATTATTATTTGAGAGGACTCGGTACAGTCTGGTTAGAAAGTTGGAGGTGATTAACGGTGCTTTGTGAGAGACGCCGCTAACATTCGTGGCTTCTCTGTGCCACTCATCGGCTAGCTCCACAACTTGGGACGGAGCACGTGACAATTTGAAAAGAACTCTGGTTAGAAAGTTGACTTCTATATTAACCCTTTTTAAAGTTAAATGGTTATTGTATGTACCATCTGCTTCAACAACCAGTAACCCTACATTTTGTGTTTATGTGTTCCGTATGATTGTCAATGTAAACAGGGATTATTTCCTTTAACAGCGTTTACCGATTCATGTTTGTGATGGTGAAATGTTCTCTTTGCGGTACGGACTGGATTATTAAACATTATTTAGACGAACTGCGGGTTTAAAGGGTTAAAACATTCGGCACTATTGCAATATTAGATAAATGCGTTGCGTAATGTGAGCTGGACTGAAAGGACTCGGTACTATGGAGTTGCGTCATGGAGGTTGCAGGCCTTGCTGATGAATGTATACTTTGTAATTGACTCTTTGATTAAAGCGATGTTTCTCTGTTTGCTGTTTCTGATAGACGTCCGAAGTACGTGACAGACCATT